TCTCGCAGAGAACTGAAACCCAAACGCAATGTTCTGAAGAACATGGAGAAACCACAGCTTTGTCAGATAACCACAGTGATCACTTTGCAGTGCGCTGCAAAATGAGGCACAGACAGGCTTATCAAACCTCAAATGAGCATTAAACCCAGTGACACGAAGAACTAACGTAGATTTTTGCGCTGAGGTGACATCAAATCATTTCTAAAGAGCATGGAGACCTGTCAAAGCACAGTCAGAATTGAAAAGACAGTCAAAAGTATGTACCTCTTTGACTCCTTGCGATTCATGGTGTCTACCGGTGTCCTTTTGGTGTCCCCCGGGCTGCTTAAACCTTTTCTTGTCCCATCGGGTATCTTGCAGTCTCTCTCCTCCAGCCAGAGGTACTAAGTGACCTCTTACAGGCTGGGACGTACAGTGGCTCTTCAGTCACGGCTGTGAAAACTTAAAACTTGAAAACCAGCTGCTGCGGCTCAGAGCTTTCTCTCTCTCTTTCTTTCTCTTTCACTCACTCGCTCACTCACTCACTGACTCTCACACACCCCCTCTTTTCTTTTTCTCTGAATATCACCAGAGAACGTGAACCACAGGGCACAGAGTTAACCAAAACAATAAATAAAAGAACCCCTATTCGACGATAGGGCATTAAAAATAAAGAAAAAATTAGAACTCTAGGCTCAAAAGGTTGTCAAAATCAGCATGATCACAACAAACAACTAACTGCATTCAATACAAACAAGTCCCTATTTGAAATACAGGCATTGGCTCTGACAGATAGGGGAACTGTCATCTGTGTGCATGTGTGACAGAGGGAGGGGAAAAAGTGAGCGAGAGAGAAGAGAGGGTGGGATTGAGCTCTTTTGAAAGAGTGTGAGAGTACGTAATACGAATTAAAAATCATTGAAAGGCCGATTGAAAACTGACAGTGTCCAAACAGACATCGCAATGAGAAATCAGTCCCAAAAGACCAAAGTTTGTTCTCATTAGCTTCCCACATGTGTGTTTTTACACATATTTCAGCTTTGTTTTAGTCTGTACCAGTTCCTTGCCTTTAGGCTAATAGGTAAATGAGTGAGCCTTCGGTTGTGTTTTCCATGAATTTCTGCGTACAAGGTGTCATGAGTAATAGCTGCGTGTCTGTACCTGCTGTATCTGTTCATTTGTTAGCCTTGGGTCTGTTTTTAATAGTCTTCATCCCTTATTTCTCTCTCTTTAACAGTAAGGTAGTGTCTCCAGGGTTGAATCCCTCCACGTGCAGCTGGAGCGGGACACTGAAAGGATGCCTTGTTGAGGATGGAGGAGAGGGGAGATGATAGGAAAGACTGCTGCATGTGTGTTTGTGCGTGTGTCTGCATGCAAACTCTGTGGGAACCTGTGCCTGTGTGTGTGTGTGTGTGTGTGTGTGAGTGAGTGTGTTTTCACACAGAGGTGGGATTCTCATACAAGCCCAGACGAGGGGGGCTTCTGTCGGTTGAAGGATGGGTGTGAATGAATCAACTGCCATCTTTCAGAATGACACCTAGAATATCAATTCTGTGAAATGTGGGCCGCCTGTTCTGTATTAAAGGAGACACAGATATGTCTGGTTTGTTGCAGTTGCTGTTGTGTTTTTTCTGATGTTTTTTTCCACCACAAATGAACTTGCAAAAGGGCCCTTGCTCATCACTCCACCTTTGTTTACTTCCTCAAAATGGTTAAGCTAATCTAAAACTTTCACATAGCAAGAAGAACTTATTGTACAGTTATTTCTGAGAGAAGATGGTGTTTTTGTCAGTAACAGGCGAAGCTAGACTTGTATTCTCCTGTAAATATTTTTTTTCTTGCTCGACCATGTCATCTTCAGTAAATTTCTTGCTGCAAATTCTGCAATTGTGATTGCATAACTGAAGAAACCACATCGGCACACATCGTCTGCCTTTTTTAGTGTTTAAAATTACTACGGTATTAATAGAAATTAAACTGAATTGTCCCTTCAGTTTACTCAATGACTTTAACTAGAAACTGGATCAAGCCTAAACAGGCTGTTGATTGCTTCATCTGTTAGGTCATTCAGAACACAAAATGACCATATGGTAACCATCGTTTCCACCAAAAAAACATTGTTACTATGGTTATTGCTATGGCAAAATCTGTGGTAACTTGGCAAACATTCTTGTACATATTTATATGATTTATTCACAGTTTTAAAGAGCTCTCATAATGTATTATATCCCATTTTAAATATAATACGCTAATACAACTGATTAGAACTGTTCAAGTGATGAGGAAAAACAGCTAAGGTGATTAAAATGGTGAAACACTTAAATAAATAAATGACGACCAGTCAAAAATAGATAGATAGATTGATTTTCCCGCTTTTCATTTAAAAACACGTCATGAAGCTGGCAAGTCGACTACAGAATATAAATACCATTGGGCAGTGGTTTATTAAATGGTAGTTTAAGTGATGACACCTAGAATATCAATTCTGTGAAATGTGGGCCGCCTGTTCTGTATTAAAGGAGACACAGATATGTCTGGTTTGTTGCAGTTGCTGTTGTGTTTTTTCTGATGTTTTTTTCCACCACAAATGAACTTGCAAAAGGGCCCTTGCTCATCACTCCACCTTTGTTTACTTCCTCAAAATGGTTAAGCTAATCTAAAACGTTCACATAGCAAGAAGAACTTATTGTACAGTTATTTCTGAGAGAAGATGGTGTTTTTGTCAGTAACAGGCGAAGCTAGACTTGTATTCTCCTGTAAATATTTTTTTTCTTGCTCGACCATGTCATCTTCAGTAAATTTCTTGCTGCAAATTCTGCAATTGTGATTGCATAACTGAAGAAACCACATCGGCACACATCGTCTGCCTTTTTTAGTGTTTAAAATTACTACGGTATTAATAGAAATTAAACTGAATTGTCCCTTCAGTTTACTCAATGACTTTAACTAGAAACTGGATCAAGCCTAAACAGGCTGTTGATTGCTTCATCTGTTAGGTCATTCAGAACACAAAATGACCATATGGTAACCATCGTTTCCACCAAAAAAACATTGTTACTATGGTTATTGCTATGGCAAAATCTGTGGTAACTTGGCAAACATTCTTGTACATATTTATATGATTTATTCACAGTTTTAAAGAGCTCTCATAATGTATTATATCCCATTTTAAATATAATACGCTAATACAACTGATTAGAACTGTTCAAGTGATGAGGAAAAACAGCTAAGGTGATTAAAATGGTGAAACACTTAAATAAATAAATGGCGACCAGTCAAAGATAGATAGATAGATAGATTTTCCCGCTTTTCATTTAAAAACACGTCATGAAGCTGGCAAGTCGACTACAGAATATAAATACCATTGGGCAGTGGTTTATTAAATGGTAGTTTAAGTTAGTGTTATTCACTATAGTAACTTAATACATTATCTCACATTTAAATAGGCCTATAGTTGATACTGCAAATAGTTCTAGCTTCAACGTTATTTCCGTAGTGAGTTTGTGAGATGCTACGACGCCATCTATCGGTCACTTCACACGACTACAGTGTAGTACAGCAAACCTGAGCGAATGCACTCGGCTTCCCAGTCTTCATTACGTGCTGTCTGAGCATGCTCTCTGAAGTTTAGCCCTCGGCTGCCAAGAAGACCCCCCAAAATCCATCAGCATCCTTCTTACTCCATACTCAGATGTAGTTGCAGGTGGACATAGGAGAGCGGAGGGACACGCTCAGAGATGACACTTAGATGGAGATTTTGGAGGTGAGGAGTGATGCCAGCTATCATCTTTGTATGTGTTTGTGGCCTGTTTGAGAGTGTGTGTGTGATAGTGTGTGTGGTTGGGTGCAGCACGTTGGCTGTATTTTCCTAGAGTAATTTTAGGGGTGTGTTGCTTATGCAGTTGTCAGACTGTCTAGCCGACTGGTGGTCTCTGTGTGTGTCTGTGGATGCAGAACAGGAAAATATATGATTGAAAATATACATACCTTGTCTGTCTATCCATCTGTACTTCTGCTGCACATCTATCTATCTATCTATCTATCTATCTATCTATCTAATTGATTGTTTTGTTTAATTGGCCTGCTGGCTCAGTTCCCTGTTAGACTGTTGTGTTGATTTTACTTTTATCACTTACATTCCTGTTCCAGAGTCATTTAAATGTGATGTTTATACAGTATATAGTATAATTTAATGTAATTTCATCATTTATACCACTCTTGTATTTCCAAATGAAGGTTTAGCAGATAAAAGTAATGCTTCAGCATTATACCAAAAAGGAATTTTACTTCTCCAGCACCCACATTTTGAAAAAATGGCCTCATCCTGCACATAGCCTTTTGTGTTCTAATCATTTGTATCCTAATTGTTCCCAATTATTTTTTTCCATAAATTTTATTTTATTATGAATTATTTTTATACAATTATATACTGTTTATACATTTTATATAATTGTATAAAATGTATATTATATTTATTAAACTATATGTATATATTATTAATAGATTTAAATATAATTGCTGTTATATAAATAAATGCAGAACATATATATATATATATATATATTAACAGAACATTCATATTCAAATGCAGTGTCTGAAATAAATTTAATTCAGTCTAGCTGTTAATTCGCTGTCTGTATTCTGTTTCAGTCACAGCGCGTGCTGAGCACACATAAGTACCCAATATATCTGGCTGTGTTCAGCTCACATTAGGACTCCACTGTGTTCAAGCTGTTTACTGTGTGTTTTGCACAAATATTGTCAAAAAATATCACAAGTTCTGCAAACTAAACAAATGTCATTATTTGATTCATTCTGATGTAATTCAAGCTTCTCATATGGCTAGTATGCGCGTGTGTGTCTTAGTGTCTTCTGCCAGATATCATCACACACAAGCACATTTTCCATTTATAGCTCATTAGACCTGTGGGAGGATCAGTTTTAGGCAAAGGGGGTGGCCCAGTTGTGCAAATATGGTTGCGGTGTGAATGTGTAAGAAGGTAGAGCACCATCCACAGGATCTGAGAGCAAGGAAGCTGAGGGAGAGAGAGAGAGAGAGAGAGACAGGAGCAGCGCTGAATCTTCTGTCACTCTCTCTCACTCCATCGTGAGAGCTACAGGACTCATACTGTCCTCCAGCACACCCACACCCACACACTGAGAAAGAGAGAGAGAATACACTGAAACACACTGAAGAGAAAACGGAAGGATTTTCTGATTTCTCCTGAGGAGCTGCAAATAACCCTCGGAGAAGGATGGCAGAGGGAGAGGGGGGAGATGAAGAGATACAGTTCCTACGGACGGTAAGTAATGCCTTCTTGACCTATTTGGATTTCATAATAATACTTATAATAATGCTTTTTTGGGGGGGAGTCTCAAAGTTATATCTCAACGTAAGAGTTTTAGCTAGTTTTTGCCTGTGCATTATGGGTATTTTTGTGTATACAGGGCCAACATAGACATTGAGGGGGGTGCTCATGTTTCCCTTTCAATATTTAGACTAGTGGTTAAGTAGTAAAATGCAAGATTCTTAAACTTTTTTATCTGGTCCCCCTCAATCTTGAACGTTTGGTTACATCATTAATGTTGTTAAAGTGTTAGAAATGTCCCTGCATGTAATTGGTGATCTGTTTGTTTGTTTGTTTGTTTTTAAGAATGCACGCTCATTTATTTGTCAGGCGCTTAAACCACGGTAACATTAGTGAAACCTCAAGGGCAAAAATACAAAAAAATTTAAATTTTGTAGCGATGTATGAACATACTTTCAAACAAAGCGGTTTTCTGAAATTTGCGTGAACATCTTGAACCCTTTGGAAAATCTGCACAGGGAAATCTCCAAAGAAATTTCCGATCTTGCAGATTCCTATTTAAATGACTGGAGTTCGCCAGGGAAAATTATATAATGGTAAATGTGATTGCACTGTAATAGATATTTTGTGAACTTCCCCATCCACACTTTTGGTCTCATCCATTGGGCTGGTTTGTTGAATTGTTACCGTGATGTTTTTTGTACAATTTTTGATGGACGTTTTTGCAAGCCTGGTTCTCACCCTGTTTTTAGTTGACTATTTTTATGGTGGCCCACATGTCTTTTGACCTGCTTAAGGAGTTGATAGCCTGCCTAACAACTCAGTGAGGGACGATGTCTCTAATCAGGGACATGTCCTGCTTTTATTGTTGCTGACTGTGAACTCATGTTGTAAGTGCTGCATTTTTTAGCTTATTCTTCTAGAAGATTCTGTCATTCAGTGGATGTACGTGAGTGTGTGTGGATGGACAGCGGCTGGTGCATCTGTTTGCATCGTTAGCTATTTTTACCTCAGGAAAGGAGAGACTTACAGAACAGGAGTGAAAGACGCAACAAGCAGGCCAGCTCCTTGAGGGGGGGACAGCTGGCCTCTGCCCCCTCATTCCTCAAACTGAAGTAGAGCGTAAGCGAGCAGCGAACTGCTTAGACAGTCTATAGGGTCAGACATACAGACAAAACCAAAGGTTTGAGGGAAAAGTACAAATGAGAAGAAAAAAAAGCAAGCAGGATTGGAATTATATAGCATTTGTGGCATATAGGAGATTGAAATTGAAATATTGTCAAAGTTTTTAACCGCTAAGTCAGTGGTTCTTACACAGAAAACTTGAAAAAAAAAAAAAAAAAATACACAGAGGGCTTGGGCCCACTAGGGGGCCAATTCCCAAGTAGGATGCAGGATAACTTAAAAGAAAATATTGATTAAATTAAATCGAAAATATTAAATAAAAAAATGTGACTCTTCAAACTTCTGGAATCACTAACTGAATTGTGGTTAATTAATTTAATATTTCAAGACCAGGGGCCCGTTCTTCGTACGTCGCTAACTCAGTTAGCTGGATTTGATTGTTGACGATTTGGCATGATCTTGGATTGGTTGGTTCTTCGAAGCTCATCCCGAAGTTGCTGTCATAGCAACTGGTCCGTAAGCTTAAACCTGCTTGGGAACAGGTTTATTTCTGGTAAACAGGATTAGATTGCATCTTTTTAAGCAGAATTGATACTTAAAATCTGTCCCAGCCAGCCACCGCTACTTTATTACAAGAGTATCCTACTGATTCAGGGACAATAATTTAAAATAATAATCATTTAAAAATTAATTTAAAGATAATACAATATAATTGTCAGGATTGGACCTGTTTTGTCATGTGTTTCAGTTCCTGTTTTGCCTTATTTGGTCAAGTTCCTGTCCTCGTTTAGTTTGATTATGTTCCATTGATGTCACCTGTGTTCCCCTGATTGCCCTGTGTTTAAAAGTCCTAGTCTGTTCAGTTTGTGTTTGTCAGGTCTAATCGTTCTCTACGTGTGTTGGCTCAAGCTCCCATTGTGGATTATCTCCTGTGTTTCTTGATTAAAGACTGTTAAACGTTTCCTCGTGACTCCAGCGTGTTCCCTCAACAGCGTAGCGTGACAGAAGACCTGACCCAAAAACAGTTACCTCCGTGTTTTCCCCTCCGTTAGTTTTCTCGTTTTTCGAGAGGATTTCGGCGCGTTTGTGGAGTGGATTCTGGCGAGAAACGGGCCTCCTCTCACCGTCACTCCCGAGGATGATCTCGCCAGATCCACTCCGGACCTAGAGCCCAGCCCACCATCTCCCCGCTGTGCGGAGCTAAAGCCCGAGCCCACCGTTGACGGAGAGCCATTTCCCGCCGCGATCAGCGAGCCAGCGCAAAGACGAGCGACTGAGCAGAGGATCGCCCCGGACGTAGAGCTGAATCCGTCAGACCAGGTGCGAGAGCCGGCGACAGTGCCAGCCACGAGGGAGAAAGCTGCAGATGGTGTGAGCGCGGAGAGGAGCTCCGCCCCCCTGCACTGCTGCTGAGGGGGAGCTGAGTAATCAGCGAGCCAGCGCAAAGCCGAGCAACTGAGCAGAGGATCGCCCCGGATGTAGAGCTGAATCCGTCAGACCAGGTGCGAGAGCCGGCGACAGTGCCAGCCACGAGGGAGAAAGCTGCAGATGGTGTGAGCGCGGAGAGGAGCTCCGCCCCCCTGCACTGCTGCTGAGGGGGAGCTGAGTATGGCGCGGCGAATGTGCCACACCGAAGTGGAGAGGGCTCCAGTCCCCGAATCCAGTCCAGAGCACCCTCCAGTGCCCGCTCCTAGAAAGCGCCCTCCAGTGCCAGCTCAGCGTCGCCATGGCTGGAGAATCCCTCTCCTCCGCCTCCAGCCTTTGAGGCCCGGACTCCGCCTCGACCCGTAGACCCAACGTCTCCACCTCGGCTACTAGCTCCCTCGCCTCCACCGTCACCCGTCGATCCACCAGGCTCCCTCGTCCCTCCGACTCCGCCTTGGTCGGGCGTCGACCTGCCATCACCTCAGGATTCCGCTCCTCCGGCTGCACCTCGTCACTCCGTCCCACCGGCTCCATTGGGCTCCTTCCTCCCGCCAGCTCCACCTTGGTCCTCAGTTGCTCCGGCTCCGCCGTGGATCTCCGGATCTCCGCCTC